GAATCGATGAAGTTCGTCTTTGCAGACTTCCTTAAGCTCTTCTAATGCCTACGACCTCCCATTCCATATTTAATCCCAGACAGACTCATTAAAGCTTATATGGACGTACATATGTCAGCTGAAAAAAACGGCACAATCTGTCCTTCTTCCAGTTGCTGCTCTTTTTCTGAGAGCTTTCCAGCCATAAATACTTAGAAAAAGCCTTTGAAGTAAGAGGCTCAGATAATGCTTTCAAGAAAAAAAATCCAAGCTCACGTCATTGTGAGGGAGCCCTAGTTTTTCGATGAGCTCTCTAAGACGTCTACTTAAAAGTAAGCGCTTCAAACTTCCCACCTTGCGCCACTCTTCTTTACCACCACCTGATTTCTCGAATTATAAAACACCCTTTTCCAAGTAAACATGAATTAGTTACAATTCGTTACACAAAACGTTGGGCAAGCAAATAAACGCCGATCAAGCGTTTCATAGTGTCACTTGGTAAGTTGGATTGCGTTTGAGACATAAAACGCGAATTGATTACTTTCCAGGCAAGCCAGCGGTCCCACGTGGCTTCACAACGTATTCCAAAGAAAATACTAGCGAGCCTTCCGAGCTCCTACTTGATTACCGCCACACTATAGAATGAGTTTGTGGTTAAGAGAACAAGGATCAGCCGACCGAGTAGTTTTCTTCTGCCATTCATCAATTTGTAGCNAGCTCACCTCTAGCTCTTGCATAGGCTGCCGCTAACGACGGCTTTCTGGTGTCAAGCGGCAGATCGGCGACCATGCACGATTGCGCTTCGGACTCGTTTAGTGGTAGACCGATAGCTGCTCCTGCAAGCGGAAGAGTGGTCCCTGAATGGCTAGGTGAATTCGTTTTAATGGAGGACGTACCCGCTGGTGAGACGTGCTTGAAAGAAGCTGCAGCAGGTAAGCCGGTTGCTTCAGAGAGTTCCTTGACCAGTTGCCAACCATTGAGGGCATCCAGAATGTTGATATATCCCGGGGCACCATTAAGCACTAAAAGCATTAACATGCAACAGTATTTATTAAATCAAGGTTAGGATAAGCAAAATTCATTACAATTCCCATGTGGGATGACTCTAATTATGAGAAAATTTCAGAAGTACTGGAAAAACTATGGAACTTTGTATATGAGCTTGGAGAGTTGTTGAGGAAGGTACTGAAAATTGAAAAATTAAAATGGGCACCGGTAAAAAGGCGGTCTGTCATCACCCCTCGGTATCGATGTCAACTCCGGTGATCACCGGTCGCGAGAGCCTATTTGTTAGGCTACTCACCCATAAGTAATGCAAGTCACTCCGATGATGAGAATATGAATAGTAGAGCGGGTCATCCCCGGCGGATCTCGGGTACCGTACTTTGTTTATTGTTTATGCGTTCTCCAGCCTGCTTCAAAAAGGTGCAAAGCAAAAAGAGCATGAGAAACCAGCCTTTAATGGGCATTTCCTCTTCGACAGAAAACAACTCCGCATCTGACTTCTGATGGGGATTTGTGCCTGAAATTTGCATAAAGCCAGTGAAGACGGAGACAAAGTGAGGATGACAAATGATTACCGTATCTGAGTGGAATAGAACGATCGCCGTTGCTGGTGAATTGCCGCCGCATATAGCCGCTGATGGATTCGTCGTAGGAGGTGGTATGCTCGAAAGCCTTCAATACAGAACATAAAAAATCTTTTAATCTTTTTCTGATTCCTCAAGTTTTGAAGTTGTTGGAGTTTTGTTTGAAAGATCTCTGGGGAGCTAAATCTGACTCCTTGAGAGCACCTTCACTTGAAGCGCAAGGAACAGGGCCGAAAGATCCAAAAGGTACTGAGGATTTGAAAGTGTTCTGCTGTTTGATGGGATCAAGGATGGAAAAAAAATTGCTGAAATGACCCAAGCGGTACACAATTTATTTACAACTCAACAGCTTATTTGCACCAATTTCATTTACATCCCCAAAAATTCCTTCCAAGCCCAAGGACAGCTGGACTGTCTTCAGTTCGTTTCCTTTTTTGTCGGTAATGCTATTCTTAGGTGCATGGGTCCTCTTCGAAATGTTCAGTTTTGTTGGAGAACCTGCCCACTTTATAAAATAACTGCTATCAGAGAGAATCTGACTAGATAATTACTCACGACGACGTATTATCCGACCTGGCACAGCTGACAAATTGATAAAACAAAGGATGGAATGAAGCCGAGAAAACAGTTTACAAGACCAACAGACCTGAAGACATGAATTCCCCCGACGGTAAATTCGATCGAAGAGACGAGAATTCGATTGGGAACGTGGCTTCGAGTCGTCCGAAATTGACGGCTTGAGCCGTTTGTAAGCCATTGAAGAAATACGAGACATCACCGTTGTTTGGGCAACAGTCAGTTGAATAGCGTATCAGGGAGAAGAGAACTTTACCTATGCGAGGGAGCTGGGAGGATGATTTGTCGTCGGTCAGGACGCGACTTTCATTCTGAAACGGGGCGGAGCAGTGGCAGCGGAACCCATGTAAACGTAAAGTTACTACCACTGAAGGCATCAGCCGTTGATTGCGGCCACCTCTGGTTCACTAGTGACCTCACTCTTTTGATCCGGAAAAGCANAAGGGCAAAAGGCTCAACCGCTGAAGGCGAAGACGTCAGCAAAAGCCTGTGGCTACCGCAGCTAAAACAACATAACGAAAACATCACAGAATTGGAGAGTTCCTGGGATCAACCGACGCCCTCAATGAAAGCTTCGACGGCCGAACATAATTATAGAAGTTATTATTTTGAGTTTTTTTGTGGAGCATTTTTTGATATTGCACGGTGACATCGCTCATTTTTTACTGATTTCCATTTTCCCAATCGATTTGATATCTTCGGTTTGGGTAGAGCGAAAAAATTCTGCTGAAAATCATTCCGACCAGTGTGGCTCAGCCGGCGCGCAAGCAATTCGAGAGACAAAGCGCAGTTTGCGATCTGGTTAATGGCTCTTTCGCTTGAATCCACACCATAGCCTCTATGTCACGCCGCCTGTGGAAGTGGGAATTTCTTCATATTCCATCTGAGCTCTGAAGACTCCAGCATAACATCTCGTACGAAACTCATTACGAGACGAAAAACGACCCGTCAAACCCCTCCATCTGATGCCTAATTAAAATTCGTTCACATCCCATACTGACGTTGACTACAGACTGAGCAGGCGAATTGCAAAAAAAAACTACTCTTCAATTGATTCCTCGAAAAAACAAATTCTTCGGAAACAAAAAAGGTGACTATAGTTCTACCTCAGTTAGGTCCAACAAACTGAATGAAAATAAACAAACAAGACTTTTTTAAAGCGTCCCCATTGCACAGACCTTTCAGCTGACCAATAAAAAGCAGTAAATAACCAAATGACCTGAGATGGAAGTTGCCAAAACGTGTAGACAAACTAACATTTGAACAACTTTTCCAACCACCTCCGAAGAATATAATGTGGGAGATAGCCCAAAATGTCCGTTGGGACCAGACTAATCACAACCACCGCACATCATCGCTCATCGTCTATGAATAAGGAAAAAGCTAAGATGGACTTCGACACCAATGTTGGCTGTTGATTCACTGCAGATAAGATGGCTATGAATAAATAAGACTTAGGGGAGCAACGATTTTTGTTACGAATCCCCTAAGATGGTCACAACACAACGGCAGGAAAATTTCATGTTCATACTAAAGACAGCTGCCATCTGAAGCTTCTTAGTGTTTCTAATATCAGATTTGTTGACATTTCCTCCCTCCATTTGTGCCGTATTCTATCATCGTTCTTCCGAGGACATGCAGACAATATTCGTGGAATACTGGATGCATAAGGAGTCAAAAAAGGACAAGTGGAGCTCCACATCACAGCAGACGAAGCATGACAAAGGCAGTTCTTCGAACAGGCCACCAAAGTTACTAAAGGAGAAATTTTAGTAGTGCAAGGACACACGCCCACGAATCCTACCTTTCCCCAGTGACCCATAGTTCAGAGTCAAGTGCTAGTTTCATGAGGGAGCATTAGGTTCGAGACAATACTCTGTGCCACCCGTCGTAGAACAACTGATAAAATGGCCACATAGTTCTACATATTCCCACATCACCTAGAACGGTCCTAGATGGCAAATTCTTTCTATCCTCACCCTCAAAGGGGAAAATCTCGTTCTCTTTTGGTTCTAGAACAAACTGAAAATGGACGATCCCAATGTGATGGTTCTAGCCGCTTGGGAGCCATGGCTACTATTAGACAGGCTTGATGATTGCTGAAAATTTTTCCAATTCTAAGAACTATACAGACTCACCTTAAACGCTAAGAACTTTCTCTCTTCTAAAGGAACTCCTGTGCTTTGAACCTGAAAAAGGTAGAGTACCACATATGCAGAGCAGACTCAAAAACTGTATGGTTGATGAGATAAAATGAAATATGAGGAAACAAATGCTTCACATGACTCACTACCTTCTACCAAAGGGACCAGTAAAGCCTACGTTGAGCGTTAACTCCTTAAAAACAGTAGAAATAAAGGGGATGTTTTGAAACCATGTTACCAAGCTTTTAGAGCCCGATTTTTGTAGTCAAGAAGATTGGAAACAAGAGAAAGACAGGACACCACCAAGCTTGTTGAGCAAAACGTCGAAGGAAAAGACTGCGAATGCACGGGACTTTGAAAGGCGACAGATTGTGGTGCAAAGATCAAAATGCTAAACCTCTGCAGAAGAACGCCGAATTTCTGGCTCAAGTTCATCCCTTGTCTTCCCTAGGGCGATGATGAGTGGTCAGTAGTCATTAGAAAAAACTCGAAACAATCAAGGAAGCTTCAAGAGATAGAGAATTTTTGCATAATGAAAGAGGATATGGGCATGGTCTTTGTTGTCAGAGTGAGTCGTCTTTTCGTGATAAGGTTCAGAGCCCAGTGTGTTTGATTTCAATCGAATTTATTCTGCGACGATATAAAGGATATTCGTAGCCCAGGTAAAAGCCTGCCCTCAGAGACTCGCAACGATTTAGGCGTCTTATGACGACAAAGAGCACCTTATTCTAAAATGGAGCAGATCGCTGGATATTAATCAGCCCTGGTTAGTCTTGAACGATGTCTGAATGATATCCAATGCCGTTCGCCTACATTCCACGCCACATCCCCATCGAGATGATCTCGGTTATATCCTAATGACATTTTCTGAGAAACAGTAGCACACTGAATCAAAGGTTCATAATCACCCAAGAGAGGAAGCATAAGGGAAGTAGAATCGTCCTACGGAACATAGGTCAGTTGCATCAGTTATCGATCCTTTGACAACGAAAAGAAATTCCCCGTAGCAATAAAGTCTACTGCCTGAAAACAACAAGCGGGAGGGTCTTAAGGCTCACACATTGTGGAAAGTAAAGCCGTTTTCCTTCGACCCACATACAGAGTTGTGGAAATCACAGGTAGCTGGTTACCACAATAGTGTAGAGAGTACTTGTACTTTCAAGATTATAAAAAAAGAGTTATCACTCTAAATTTCTCGTGGTAAATTTTCAAAAGACTTATTAAAAGTTCAATATTCCGCCGCCACATATGTCTATTTCCCACTTACAAACAGCCCGCAATCATACGGAATTGATAGGAATGATACTTGGATGTTGGAGAAAGGGCATAGTAACAACTTTATAACCGGCGGGTCGCGCCTAATCCTGCTTATCCCTACTTTAACATCATAAGGGCACATTACTCATGCAGATTTATTGTAAGTATTCTTTTCTTTCTTTTTTGATCCTACAAAAAACAAGTCTTTTTTGCTTAGCAACTCTCCATTAGTCTACCGAATGCTTCAAGCCGATTTCTGGCATGAAACTGTGCCATGGCATGAAACTTTCTTCGCTGATACTTTTTTCTTCAACATGAATCGAATTTCCCAAAAA